TGTCCGGTTCACCGCGTGGTAGTCTTTGTGAGATGTTTGCTACCATGCGGTTGGCGCTATCGCCGACGCTGGTGTTTTTGACTCGGTGCTCTCTCTGACCATGGCGAATTTTCTTTGGCGGCGGCGGCGGCGGCGGCGGCTGCAAGGGCAAGAGAAAGGCGCACACCCTTGAGAGAGGTGGCACCACCGCTGCCGCCGCCTCCACACCGACAGACCTTCGTGACTGCCGGCGCGCATGGCTGTCGTAAATACGTAGAGTGGGGAGTGTCGAGAGGTGGTTGGACCATGCGAGTTGCGGAGACTTTCCTGCTTGACTCAACGGTCAACGGTTGTTTTGCGGACTGTTTGGGTCAGTTCCCACGGTTGACGGCTTTGGAGGGTACGCAGCTCGGGTGTCCCGAGAGCAAGCTTCTTCTCTCTCTCGCGCGCGCATGATGTCGGCATTTTCGTGTTGTTGTTGGCATGGTCGGCTCGGGAATAAACTGCCGAGGAGGTTGAGCGTAAGGCTAGAGGGCCCACCCACCCACCCACCCACTCCGGGGAATAATGGTTTCGGATGTATGCATACATGGACATGTCCCCGCGTTTTGAAGCGAGTATTGATGTGGCGGTTGCTGTTGCTGTTGCTGTTGCTGTTGTAGTACGTTCTAAACCGTTGTAAATGTCCGCACCGGTTAGACTAGACCGACGCGGACAACGCCGTCCGTGGCAACAGGTCGATTACCCGAAAGGTACTTAGATACGCCCAAGAAACCTAGGGGGAAATAAACCCTAGCGGCTGTGCTTCCCGACAACGTCTCCAGGCGCACACCAACATCCACACACGAACACAACACACCCATCTATTTGTTGGACTGCATGCTTGTTTCCTTGCTGCACACGTACGTTCGAAGCTGGGTTATTGCACCCTCCCCCCCCCGTCCTCCATGAGGGTGAGAGTCATCATCGCGTGATTTCCAAGCGGAACACGCTGACGGGAAACCGTAGCGCCCATTCATTTAGTGTATACCGGAGTGTGGCAAATTATGAGAGAGCAGCGGGAGACGATAGGGAGAAGAACCCTTCAGTGTGCGTATGACCACGGAGTGGATACCAGCCAGAAATGCTCATGTACATGTAGAGTTGTGCTTGTTGTCTTCATGTTAGTAACCGTTCCCTTCTCTCTGCCTAGTACCTTCTCCGTACTAGCCTTACACTTGACTGGGTCGATTCCCGTGGTCACAGGCTATGAACAGTAAAATAAACACAGTTATCAGGGCGATCTACGTGGTGCATGCGAGAAGGTTGGTGGACCTATTTCAATCACAGAAGCGAAGTCCTTTGCTCCTATTTACCGTAAGGCGCGGCTTCGCTACTCTTGTCCATTGTGGCTTCGGCTGCCTGCTTGCGCTTGAGCGGTGGCGATGAGAGAGAGAGAGAGAGAGAGAGAGCTTGTAATGGTCAATTAGTGCAGGGCTTGGAGCACTTTCAAGCAGTTGAGCTTAGGGCTTGGGGCGTACCCGTCGTCAATGGCAATTTTGGTGGTATGGCAACTGGTGGTACGAATCTCGGGATGCGACAATTGTTTTCGCCAAGCTTGTTGTTGTTGTTGTTGTTGTTGTTGTTGTTGTTGTTGTTGTTGTTGTTGTTGTTGTTGTTGTTGATGATGGTGGTGGAGTTGTCTTGACGTTCTAGGTTTAAAAAAACACCGACGGAGTGACAGGAGGGATGCATGTAGAACGAAACAAACATTTGGTTCCCGGCAAGCATGTAGGTGTTCTTCTCGATCTTGACAGAAACAAGAAAAGAAATATGGTTTGCCCGCGGGTTGCGGATGGCGTCAACAGCAGTCAGTCCACACCGACCTACAGCAGTGTGCATGTATGCACAGCCAGATTAAGAACGCGGGCGTAGAGAGAGAGCGAGAGAGAGAGAGAGAGAGAGAGAGAGAGAGAGATTGAGAGAGAGAGAGAGTGAGAGAGAGCTTACGAAGTGCAAAGCTACATGAACAGCTCGATCGACGCTGCTGATTGGCCTACTGTTTGCTGCCGCGCGACGATCGGATCACAGCAGCAGCAGCAGCAGCAGCAGCAGCAGCAACAGTGGGCCGTCAGTTTGAGGCATCCAATATCAGCTCGTCTAGTAGGACCATAGCCGGGAGAGGATCCGGACTGCTGCGGTTTGTTGGGGTGAAGATGTCACTGAAAAAAATGTCTCGCCAAGCTACCGCTTCCCACATTTGGCCCTTTTGCTCCGGAACGTTACTGCGGGTGCGTATTTTTTTCTAACAAATCACCAAATCGAATCCAATCCCTGTCCACAGACTAAAACCTTTCTTCTTCTTTTTTTATCTCCCGTTTGCTTCGCTGTACTCCTTCGCTGATACGACTACGGGTGAAGAGTAACCTTCTTGTTGTTCTTCTTTTTCTCTCTCCCTCAACAATAACACATCTCTGTCCACAGGTGAAAAGTATATCTTATATATAATAAACCTGCCTCATGAATTCTTGTTCTTATAATTTGTGCGGTTTCCGAGGCAGTCGTTAGCCTCGTCTTTCTCTCCGGAGGCAACGGCAGCGGATCGCGGTTGCGGCGAGGAGGAAGAAAGGGGAGGAGCGTCGCGACCGATGTGGTCGCGTCGGGAAGACGAGGCGGACAAGAGTATCTTGGGGGTGCTATCCAAGACTACCGGCTCCTTCCAGCGAGAGCTGCAGGCCTTGACGACGGTGAGGGATGTTGTTGCCGTAGCGGAAATGCAGGGTATGCGGTTGTGCTGAAGGTGCGAGCTGTTGTTTTGTTGTTGTTGTTGTTGTTGTTGTTGTTGTTGTTGTTGTTGTTGTTGTTGTTGTTGTTGTTGTTGTTGTTGTTGTTGTTGTTGTTGTTGTTAATGATGACGATGAAGGTGTCGAAAAAGCGCTCTGAGAGGTTTCTGAAGGCAGTGTCTACCTGCGATTTGTTGTGTTTGTGGTAGGTGTTTCGTGGACCGGCATCAAAAGCGGGCAGTATGATTGCCCCCACAGATTTGCTGACGCCAGCGTCGGCCGTCGCTGCCGCCGACAACGTCGGCGCCGGCGCGAGCGAAAATGGAAGGCCGCAAGCCATCACAATAATCGAAAGATCTCGGGAGTGTCGCAACCTCTGACGCTTTGGGAACAAGCAGCGCGTTTTCCCCTCTGGGCCGGGGTCGAGCGGAAGCCGTTTTTTTCTGCTGCTCGTGGCTGTTCCTCTCATTATCGTCGTCGTCGCCAGTGGCATCTTAGGATCGGGTCGAAGTGCGTTCGCCGACATTGCTACCCGATGTTGGTGGTGTTGTCTTTTGTTCCAACTCGCGGCTTGTGACACAATCGGCACGCGATACACGGCCGCGTGTCTTTGTTTTCATGCACCTGTACCGCACGACGGCACCGCGCGCGCACCCACGTGTCCTGATGTGTGTTCTTAGAGGTAGCAAGAAAGCGGCATGTGTTGGGTGTCGTTTCTGCTTGGTTGATTGTTGTTCCCGTATTATTTGTTGTCGCTTCCGTGACAGCAGCAGAGGCTGTTGTGTTCGTCGTCCAACGTGCCTCTAGATATTTAGGATATTTAGGTTTTTCTGCTTGTTGTTTTGCTGCGAGGATGCATCCGCGGCAACACGGTGTTCCTGTCGCCGGCTGGCGCCGTTTTGTAGCAGTTGCTGGCGTTCGTGAGATGGTGATATTCAGTGCAACCGTTTTAGCTAGCGCTGTACATCAGCGCCGAGCCGTCACGCAGCCAAAACGGTGCCATTGTTGTGGGAGAAGTGACAGTCAGTGCAGCCGCTTTGTTTTCCTGGTTTAGGCAGTACGTATTGAGGGCATCGCCGCTTAACCGGACTGGCAGCTACGTTATAGTTGTGTGTTTTTTGACTACCAAGGTGCAGCGGTGCCACGAGGTTCTTGAACCGCTATTCAGGACATCCCGCTAAAAGGGGAAGGAATCACTACATCGGGACCACGACTTGTAGTAGCGTTGGACTGTTTTCGTGCCGCGGGGGGGGGGGGATACTCATAGTCGTGCATGCCGTAGTCGTTAGACCATTGACCTCGCATCCCTACAAAGCCGGGACGGAGCACGCCGAGTTCTCACCGGACCAGGCAGGCGAAAAACACGAAACCAGCAGGTTTCGGGTTCACACGAAGACTTCGAGCAGTTGTTGCTGCACAAGATTTAAAAACGTGTGAAGTATTAATTACATACGCGTGTTTTTGGTTGGTTTCGGTGTGCTTGTAATTTTTGGTGCGGGGGGATGATCGCCTACCTTCACAGTGTACGGCCACAATTTCTCACAATACTGCTTTTTTTCATTTTGTCAGGATCTATTTTCGTCAGTTGAGTCAGGCTCAGCTCCAACCGATGGTGGCGGCGGGGGAGGAACAGCCGCGCAGAGGCAAAGGGGGGGCCCCGGCGAATCTTCCCTCGGTCGGGTCGCGGGCGGTGGTGGCACCGCCATCGACAACTTTCAAGACTCGGTGCGCGTCGGTGTCTGTGTGTATGTGCTCGCTCGTGTGTGTTTTGTTGTTTCTTGTTGGTTGTCGCATTCGCATTAAAAATCGTTCCGATCTCTCTACCCGGTGCTGTACCTTCTCTGTCCGTGCTAGTCTAGCACATGACGCGGTCGATGTCCGTGCTCACAGGCTAACTAAGCTTAAAAGCTATACGAAAATATTATGAACGCGAAGGGTCCGCAAGTCAAAAGAAATAGCGACATAGTCTAGAACCCCCTTCTCGCCTCTACACGCTATGCGAGGTAACTATGGACTGTATTTACTATTTATTCTGCGAATTGCTAGCGTCGACCGCGCTCAAACAAACCAACATAACCCATGAACCGTTACTTTAGAGGAAGAATACAGAAAATATCTCCCATGGGGGGTCCAGTGCTATTAGTCGCGTCTGCGTCCCCCCCCCCCCCCCCCCCCCCCCCCCCCCCCCCCCCCCCCCCCCCCCCCCCCNCCCCCCCTCCCTCCTCCCCTCACACCGGGGTACACTGTGCACGTCATCAGATGTTTCAGGATGGTGGGGATGGTCGGCAGGCAACCCTCGGAGCCCCCAGGGTCGACTCGACGTCGCCGAAGTCGTCGACGATGCCGTGGAGGGCGGCGGCGGCCGCGGCCGGCGGCGGCGGCGGTGGAGACGAAGCCATGGACGCCCAGGTCGCACGGTCGGTGTCCCTGTCGATCTCGATGGCCGGGAGATGGGATGAGGAGGGTGGCGGCGGCGGCGGCTCGTCCCAGAAGGGGACCGGCGGCTCGTCCCAGAAGGGGACCGGCGGCGGCGGCAGCGGCAGCGGGAAGTTGAAGATTCGGAAAATGTTCACACTCAAGGTGAATGAAGTGCAATAGTCCCCGCGGAGTGGGTTGGTTGGTGCTTCGAGTAACGCTGTGGCGTGTTCCAGTGGGATGGATGGCCGCACGAAAGTAGGAACCAATGGTCCTCGATGGCGGGGGAGACTGCTGTACCCTTCATGAAGGCGATCCCAACGTTATCCCTCCATTCTTGGAGCCTTACCGTACATGACACAAGATAACACACCCCCTGGACCGATTTTCAAAGCTCGATTACTCCACGACGAAGAGAATGAACTAACGAAACGATACATTTTCGGCAAGCTCTCGACGAGACGGTTTCAACGCCGCCGTTTTCGGCGCTGTGACTGTTCCGGCAGTTGAGAAATCGAGCTTCGAAAATCGGTGCAGGGGGTGTGTTATCCTGTGTCATATACGGTATTGGCGGAGAGGCAAGGACGGGGCTCTCCACGTAATGTAGTTTGGTCTCGGCCGTTCTCCTGGCCGCTACCGCGTCCTCCCATCCATCCATCCATCCATCCCTGTCTCTTTCCTCCCCCCTCGCTTGTACCTTTGTAATAACCCCCCCCGTTTTAAATTGTCTGTGTTTGACCACGTGAACCAAAATATAGAATCTGCGAACAAGCAAAGCGGATGCAGCGGCGGAATCGGCTGCGGCGGCTGCGGCGGCGGCGGCGGCGGCGGCTTCCGCAGCTCGAGGCGCAGAGAGCAACGCCGGGCAGCACAGAACCGGCAACAGCACCAACTCCCTCGTGAAGCCCTCCCCCTCTAACCGACGGGACGACGCCGCCACCGCTGCCGTGGCAGCAGCAGGAGGAAACGCCTCTAACGGCGGCGGTGGCCTGGGTACCAACGCCGATTATTCTCCGGTGCCGAACGGCGGCGTTGGCGGCGAAAAAGAAGGCGCTTCTTTTTTCCCGGGTTGGTCGGTGCCGACAAGCTCCACCTTCTCCGGCGCTGGCCCCGGGAAAGTGGTGGACTTGGGTAGCATCGGCGGCGACATGGGGCACCGGGCGTTGCCCCTGACGGGGGGGTCGGGGGGTACGAGGGGCAGCGGCGGCGTCGGGTTGCGCGCCCGAGCATCAACGGAGACAACGTCGCTGCCGGACAGCGATAGGAAGCGGTCGTTCAGCCTGACGGGGAGGGGGGAGCCGGAGGCGGCGGCGGCGACTTCGGCGCCGCCCGTGGCGGGGAGGGGTAACATCGTGGACGTTATCGTGGTCCACGGGTCGGACCCCGTTCCCCCCGGGTACTCGAAGCTGGAGCGGTCGTCCGGGGGTAGGCGAGCGGACCTGAACACGGGGGCACGCGGACAGTACGTCTATCTCGCTGTGAGTATTGTACCCACGGACCATAGATAGGGCGTCATCATACCATAGGTGACACAAAGGCACGTGGACAGTACGTCTATCTCGCTGTGCGTAGTACTACACCACGGGCGTTAGATAGGGTACCATGATACCGTAGGTGACAAAAGATATCACTCCCCCTGAACCGATATTTCAGCGCTGGATTACTCCACGACCAAGAGGATGCACAATTGAAACGATACATTTTCGAAAAGCTGTCGATGAGACGTCACCAATTTCGACACTACATAGCCCTCCTTCTGCTTTGGAGGAGGGATCGAGCTTTGAAAGTCGCTCCAGGGGGAGTGGTATCTTGCGTCATATATGGTATTGGATGGCGTAAGCAGTGGTCCCGGAATAATGCCGGTCGAATAAATGCCGGTCGCCGGGTAAAATACCGGTGAAATCGTCTGGCACAGATAAAATATTCAAAATGCTTCATTCTCTGAATAATGCCGGGGAAATCGTCGGGCACATGATAAAATATTCAAGTTGCTTCATTATCTGAATAATGCCGGTGAAATCGACTGGATCGCACTGGCAGCATGTATTGGCATGCCGATAGGCAAGGCGTGTGTGGCCTATCGACGTTAGATTGATGCCTGTGGGTTTTTCTCGATTGTTTTTGGGGGATGACAGAAGAATGTCATGTTGTAGCTCCAAAACAAAACTTGGACATCGATCGATCGATACCTACAGAACGCGCCCGCACTTGAGAACCTCTATTGTAGTTTCGTCCAAGGGTGTGGCCGTATTCCTAGGGTCATGCTACGAATGGCCGCTGTATAGGTTTTAGAGTTGGGGTTCTTAACCGCGTCCACAAGTGGTGCTCAAGTTCTTTTTTTTTTTAGGGCCAATTTCTTAACTCCTTGGTCTTTGATGCGGGCACGTTCTGCATGGCATCGATCAGTAGACTGACAGTGGTTTTGTCGATCGGTCGATCGGACCTGAACACGGGAGAACGCAGACAGGGCGTCTATTTTCTCGCGAGGGTGGGTTAGCTAGGGTGGGGACGTTTGTGTGCGGGTCTCGTTGTTGCTTGATGCGCAACTAAAGAACGCCCAATTCCACCCCGCTATTTAGGTGAAGCATCAACATCAACTGTGTCGGCCACCTTTGTCCCTAGCGCACCCGGTCTTCAGGCTGCGTTCACCCCGCCCTTCCCCCAGCTCCGTCTCGTTTTTATCGCCGCCTCCCCGACCCCCGTTCGCCTTTAATGGACCCTTAGGTACAGCGAGATGCGCCTCTTGTAGACGAGGCGGAAGGGGATGACGTATCTCATCCGGGGGGGGGTAGGATGGTGGGAGCCCCCGCGGTGGTTGCGCTAGCGCTGATTTTTCCGGACCGAAGGGAGACTGTTCCCCCCATGTTCCAGAAGGTATGTAGGCGCGGTATCCGCGTTGGTACTCGAGTGGTGGTGGCTGTCATTATCATCATCGCTGCTGCTGCTGCTGCTGCTGCTGCTGCTGCTGCTGCTGCTGCTGCTGCTGCTGCTGCTGCTGCTGCTGTTGTTGTTGTTGTTGTTGTTGTTGTTGTAGTTGGTTGTCCTCGCTGTCGCTTGTTGTTTGCCAGTACCGTCATGCCCCTGAGCGTCTTGGCCTCTCGAGCATCAGCTACCCGCCTTTGTGGGGGCTGAAAGGTTGGTGGGGATGAAAAGCATCAAGAATGAACATGCGCGTTTCGTGTTCTGTTTGTGCTTCTCTCTCAGGTGCGACGGCGAGGCACGCCAGTCGACCTTAACGCTGGGACGAACGGAGAACGATCATTTCTCTGCTACAAGAGGGGTACCACCAACCCCATCACCGATATACAGGTAAGGACTGTTGTTGTTGCTGTTGCTGCTGCTGCTGCTGTTGCTGCTGCTGCTGCTGTTGCTGCTGTTGCTGCTGTTGCTGCTGCTGCTGCTGCTGTTGCTGTCGTTTTGGCTGCTGCTTTCGTGCTTGGGTGTGGTGACGTTGGCAGTCCATTTCGACACCTACCCCCATCTTCCCGCCGTCACAACTTAACTCGACATGGAGATTAGGGGGACCGCAGAAAACGATTACTTCTATTATCTCCGGCCGACGCTGCGTCTTTTCTCTCCCCTGGATTCGTCTTGTGCGTTTGCAGACGCTGGTACGTCAATGTTGGTTCATTGGAATTTTGTGAACAAGCGTTTCCTCTTGTATGTGTATATATATACACCGTATATGACACAAGATAACAACACACCCCCTGGACCGATTTTCGAAGCTCGATTTCTCAACTGCCGGAACAGTCACTGCGCCGAAAGCGGCGGCGTTGAAACCGTCTCGTCGAGAGCTTTCCGAAAATGTATCGTTTCGTTAGTTCATTCTCCTCGTCGTGGAGTAATCGAGCTTTGAAAATCGGTCCAGGGGGTGTGTTATCTTGTGTCATGTACGGTACTACGCGGCCTGTTAACCGGCGCCAGAATAGATGGGACGAACACGTGCACGCACACACCCTTGTCCAGACTCGAGAAGCTTAAGCTTCATAGCAAGCGAAAGAGACGTCGCGGACACAATTGTTTTTTTTTTGTTCTAAAACACTACGTAAAGCTGAGACGACCTCGCCCACAATTTTGGGTGGAAATTTTTCAATCGAAACAATGCGCCCCCCTCTCTCCCTGCTTCCGCCTGTCCATCCGCTGTCTATGTCTGTCTTTGCCCCTGTGTGTTGTGTCTATCTCCCATCTCTGTTTCTCTCTGTCTTCTCTCTCTATATATATCCTCGTTCTCTCCCTCTCTCTCTCTCTCTCTCTCTCTCTCTCTCTCTCTCTCTCTCTCTCTCTCCTTCTTCTCTTTCCCCACCTTCCTCTCCCTTCCCTCGCCGCCCGCGTGTGTCCCCCCCCCTATTATCCGCTCCGCGCCGCGTGTTCCGAGAGATCAGATCTACTTCCCTCGAAAAAGAGAGTTCCCTCCGCACGCCTATAACCGTCTGGAGACCACCCCCTCCGGCCACGCCGCGGACCTCAACTCTGGATCGGGCGGAGCACCCATATTCTTGGCCTACAAGCAGGAACTTGTGCGGCTCCGCGGGTTACGCTCGAGCCTTTCGTACAGCTCGGGCGGGG